TTGGTGAAAAACCAAAGAAGTCATGAGATAAATATTGGTCCGTTTATGTTTCTCTATTTTCGGGGTTCAGAGCTATTTTTGTATATAAAAAAAAAACATGTATACAATTTACTAATAACAAAAAAAAGAACCAGTCACTAATTTAATATTTTCTCGTATTAATTAAAATATTGAAAGAAATATTATAGATAATGAGAACGACTAACGGCAGCTTTTTATGTTAAGTGAGCACACGAGAAATCATCGATTGCAAGTCTCAAAGTAATCATATCAATACATATGAAATAATTACGGAAATCTTTTAAAATATACAAATGCATTGAGCATATATATTCGAATGTGACAAGCCATATGCGGGATATGATACTATAGCAAGAGTAAATTCTAAGAATGAAGTGTGTCATTAATTTTGTCAAAATATGTTGTCTGCTTAACTCGTTGTCATTACTACCGGTTCCGTGACGTACTTCCAAAATTTTTTATCGTTATTATTGAACTAATATCTCTTAGCAATAATAACATATTTTTTTTCATGGTTATCAAAATAAAAAAGATTGGACTTTCTTATTGTATAACTTATACTATATAATAGCACTGTGAAATGCAGATATCGTAAAACTTTCTATGTTTTCGGAGTATATGTTAATTAGAGTGTGTAGTTGGGTTTTCAATTATATTTTGGTTATTATATTGGCTAAGCTCTTTTGGGTTTATGAAGTATAGATATCGAATATCACTAAATCTTGTTTTAAACCTCAAAATTCATAAACTTTTGTTCACAAAATCTAAATGTTAACTACACTTGAACTTAAAATTCTTAATTTTTTAATTGTTCAAACCTCATCAGACATCGTACCATGACAGTTTATACACCATCATTAAATATTAGACCCCATTTTATTTTATCGGATGCTCACTCAGATAGTTGCAAGAGCCAAATGCATATTGGCCCCCAAAAAGACAAAAAAAAAATGATTAATTTATTAAAAACTGTGTTATATCTCGGTAAATTAAGACGGAGGATTTCGATAAATACCCTAAAATTTAAAATTTGAAAATTATTTTACTCTCTCTTGAGAAATTCTAAAAAATACTATTTTTGAAATGCCACATTTTAGAATTTTAACATTTATGCTATAAATATCCATAATTAGTGGTATTTTTACAATTGGACAATCTATTGTACCATTTTTGTAATTGTCCCTTTAATCTTATATAAAATTGAAAAACTATATTTTTGTTATCTAAAAGTACGTAAATACTCTTATACATATTTAACTTACTATATAAATTTAAAATAATTTAAAATAATTAAACTTAATATCGAAATTTAATTTCGTATTGAATTTTTATTTTAAAAAATATTTTATTAATAAATCATTATCAAAAAGCTAAAATTTTTATTAAATTAAAAAATAAAAAATAAAGATTGAGTTATTTTACATAGTCGACTTATATTTTATTCGGTTGATTTTTTACTTGTTGATTTATTTATACTATTGCTTTATTTTTTTATGTTCGTCCACTTGATATTCAGTTTCATCGATTTATTTTAAACTGTTGACTTATATCTCGTTTGTTCGATTTTTTACTTTGTCGACTTGTTTAAACCGTTGACTTATTTTTTTATTTTTGCCGACGTAATTTTCAATTTTGTCGACTTTTTGACATATATTATCGTTTGCTTGATTTTTTATTTTGTCGACTTATTTATTTTAATCTTCACCAAATTAATTTTTAGTTTCGTCGACTTATTTTAAACTGTTGACTTATATTTTGTTTGATTGACATTTTATTGTTATCGACTTATTTAAACCACTGAATAACTTTTTTTTAATTCGTCGACTTAAGTTTTCTTGGTCATCGATTTATTTTAAACTAGCGATATATATTTTGGTTGATTGACTTCTTACCAAGGTTGCATGGAAACTCCATCCGAGGTGCGTTTCCCGTTTCAAAAACGTTTCGGAAACAGAAACTCTTGGAAACGCGTTTCCTAAAAAATTTTAATTCGGAAACGCGTTTTCTAAAATATTTTAATTTGGAAACTCGATGGAAACTTTAATTCTGTTTTGGAAACGCGACGGAAACTCGTTTCCTATAAATTTCAAATTTTAAATACGATGGAAATGTTCAATTACATTTTGGAAATGTGATGAAAAATTGTTTCTTACATAATAATTAAATAGTTTGAAAATGTAGAAATACATTTAATACTTTTATAGGTTAATAACAACAAAATTATTTTACTTTTTTTCTTTTGTTAAGCTATTTAATATTTATGTATATAATTTGTATTATTTAAATTGTTTTAAATATTTTTTTTGAAGTTGTTTTTGAAATTTTTTCATAAAATCGTTTCCACGTTTTCAAA